TGTCCTTAAGGGGTTAATAACAGTCATTGTAACAAACCAAAGTTCTGTTCGTGGGTTGTAAACGCACGAAGCGTGTGTGTAGTACAATAGTAAATGCATGAACTAGTTCCCGTTTGGTAGAAAATTGCACGAACCGTGAGCCTGGTATGTCAGGGAAACCAAACGAAACGAGCAGTGAGATTCGAAATGCACGCACAGAATTGCCTAGTATGTTTAGGCAATTGAAACAGAATGTGTTCCCGTTCGGGATTATGCTAAAGCTCAAAATGAGCCAGTGACAGATATAAACAAGTGAATTTAAACGAATGATATGCATTAACATGCAATGGTTTTAGGACAGATTTAGACAAAATGCAGCCGTAAAGTGAGGACCTGACCCGTGCATGGTGCCGTGGGACTGATGCCTGGCGTAACGGGTAGGTCGACTTACGGTTTGTGAGCCACTTGGACACCATCCACGGTGATGGATTGAAGAAAAAGCTGGTAGGCCGGAAAAGCCTGTGGCTGAATTCCTGACACAGCTCAGCTTAGAAAACCTCATGGAGTAATCAGGTAAAATGGCGTCTGGATGACCCGGAAGTGGAAATCATTCTGATGCTGACCTCAAGCAACCTCAAGTAACCAAGCGCTGTCAGCAAGGTATGGAGGTAAGTAGTGGGTTTATATAGGCCGGTTGCAACCCCTCCCACAACTCCAGGCTCCGCCTTCCCATATATATAATACTCAAGATCCAGCGCACTCACCTATCCACTAAACAGCAACTTCAATGAAAATAAAATCTTTCAACATTGAAGTTGCTGTTTAGTGGATAGGTGAGTGCGCTGGATCTTGAGTATTGTATTATTTGGCCCCCAGCAGCACCCCCATTTATGCATGTTCAGGTGAGTGCAGCCAACCCCCTCTTGTTTCATATATATATATATATATATATATATATATATATATACAGAAGGGGTACTATAGGGAGCTATTTTGCCAGGAAAACAACTTTATTGAATGTTAAATGTTAAAATTCATGACAGTACAGTTAAAAAAAGACTGAACGTGTATGGTTTGTTTGGAAGAGTTGTCAGGAGAAAGCCCCTTCTCTCTAAAGAGAATATGGAAGCACGTCTAAGGTTTGCAAAGTTGCATCTAAAACAAATCACGAGACTTCTGGAACAATGTTCTTTGGAAGGACGAGACCAAAGTGAAGATGTTTGGCCATAATGCACAGCGCAATGTTTGGCCAATATCAGCACAAGCACCTCATACCAACTGTTCAGCACGGTGGTGGAGGGGTGATGTTTTGGACTTTTTTTGCAGCCACATCACCTGGGAACCTTAAGTTGAACATGAAGTCATGGGTCATGGGTCATATTGCTGCTCAAGGTGATTCTACAAGGTATGGAATCATTAGGTGTGCTTAGTTTTTCACACATGGCTTCTCTGTTTTGGCTTTATTTTTGTTAAATAAATCATGACACGGTGTAATATGTCATGTGTTGTTGTTCATCTGAGGCAGTGGCGGCTCTAGCCTTTTTGAGGCCTTAGGTGAAACTCAAACGTGAGGCCCCCACTAACACCCAAAGTGAATAAATAGGGGTTGCATTGTGTGTGTATAAGGTGCTGTAGTTATATTGAAGGGTGGACTTGCAGCGCTGGATACAGAGAGCCAGTCTCTGTATTCAGCATTCAGAGGCTTGCAGTGTCATGGCTCCCTATGCTGCTGCGTTGTGAGATCTATATTGGTAGTTATAGCATAATTTGTAAATAAAATTAATTTGCAAGAAACAAATTGCATTTTCAATTATAATTTTTGATTCTAGCTAAAAAAAGGAGATTCTCCTGATTTAGATATTAGTTAACAGAAAGAAGAAAAAGGAGATTCCTCTGATTTTTTATTTTAGTTCTATGAATTTTTATTTGCGTAAGCTTATACATAGAAATTGTCGTATCTTAAAAGAGGTTCAAGTTATCCATTCTTTTCTAGGGGATAAACCAAGATTTATATTTAGAGAAGCAAAACATTTTAAAGAAATTTAACTAAAAGTTTGATCAATTTTCTCTACAACAAAAAGTAATATCAGAGCTTGGGACACTGGGTTGAAAGATGTGGGTCCTTCCTCCGGGTGGTCATGGGCAATGCCGCTATCTATTCTAAAAAATAATTTTCCTCAAATTGGTTTTGAACATTGACATTCATATTTCATTTAAGATGTAGATGCTTTCTTTTAGAGCAATTCTTTGATGTCTATTTGAAAATTGAAAGAAAAATTTGGCCTACCTGATAATCTACAGATAGAATACAAATTAATTATTACTAAATTGACAGAAAAAATTTATATTCCTAAGTTAGATCAAACTTATAAAGAAATAGCACTAACCCTGAAATCCAGGGCCTGGCAGGATGAATGGGAGCACTGAAGGCCACCTCGTAAGCGTACGAAGCTAATCGCCTCCTTGCAGCAAGTGGTCCAGGGGCATGACCGACGATTTGCATCCCTGGAAGATGCACGTCGCACAAACAATCTTAACGTACGAGGCATATCAGAAGACACTCCAGCAGCCGAATTGGCATATTTTTACGTTGGCTCCTGGTGATGCTATTGACATTGTGGCATGTCAAGGCGATATGCCTGGATGGCCTTTTTTGAGTCACAAATCTGGCCACAGCCCCCAGCCACGGCACCTTGAGACCTCAAAATTTGCTTCCAACAGCGGACAGATAAAGCAGTGTTGCTAGCAGCGGTCAAGAACCACACATCTTACAAAGTCAAATCGATGTCATTCTCCTTCTTTGCTGACGTGTCTGGGTGCACCCTGGCATGGCGAAGAACCCTTAAGCCTTTTACCTCACTTCTCCAGCAACAAGGCATGCAATATCGTTGGAACTTGACCCTCTAACTCACGGTCTTAAAAGGGAAAACAGACACATCGTCCATGACCTGCCAGAGGCACTGACCCTGATACCAAAACTGGGACTCCCACAAGATTCAGAGGTTTGCAGTGTCATGGCCTGTATGCTGCTGCATTGTGAGCTTTATGATGGTAGTTATGGTATAATTTGCAATAAACAAATTTCATTTACAATTATAATTCTTGATTCTAGCTAAAAAAGGAGATTCCCCTGATTTTTTATATTAGTTCTATGAATTTTTATTTGCGTTAGCTTATACATAGAAATTGTCGTATCTTAAAAGAGGTTCAAGTTATCCATTCTTTTCTAGGGGATAAACCAAGATTTATATTTAGAGAAGCAAAACATTTTAAAGAAATTTAACTAAAAGTTTGATAAATTTTCTCTACAACAAAATGTAATATCAGAGCTTGGGACACTGGGTTGAAAGATGTGGGTCCTTCCTCCGGGTGGTCATGGGCAATGCCGCTATCTATTCTAAAATATAATTTTCCTCAAATTGATTTTGAACATTGACATTCATATTTCATTTAAGATGTAGATGCTTTCTTTTAGAGCAATTCTTTGATGTCTATTTGAAAATTGAAAGAAAAATTTGGCCTACCTGATAATCTACAGATAGAATACAAATTAATTATTACTAAATTGACAGAAAAAATGTATATTCCTAAATTAGATCAAACTTATAAAGAAATAGCACTAACCCTGAAATCCAGGGCCTGGCAGGATGAATGGGAGCACTGAAGGCCACCTCGTAAGCGTACGAAGCTAATCGCCTCCTTGCAGCAAGTGGTCCAGGGGCATGACCGACGATTTGCATCCCTGGAAGATGCACGTCGCACAAACAATCTTAATGTACGAGGCATATCAGAAGACACTCCAGCAGCCGAATTGGCATATTTTTACGTTGGCTCCTGGTGATGCTATTGACATTGTGGCATGTCAAGGCGATATGCCTGGATGGCCTTTTTTGAGTCACAAATCTGGCCACAGCCCCCAGCCACGGCACCTTGAGACCTCAAAATTTGCTTCCAACAGCGGACAGATAAAGCAGTGTTGCTAGCAGCGGTCAAGAACCACACATCTTACAAAGTCAAATCGATGTCATTCTCCTTCTTTGCTGACGTGTCTGGGTGCACCCTGGCATGGCGAAGAACCCTTAAGCCTTTTACCTCACTTCTCCAGCAACAAGGCATGCAATATCGTTGGAACTTGACCCTCTCACTCACGGTCTTAAAAGGGAAAACAGACACATCGTCCATGACCTGCCAGAGGCACTGACCCTGATACCAAAACTGGGACTCCCACAAGATTCAGAGGTTTGCAGTGTCATGGCCTGTATGCTGCTGCATTGTGAGCTTTATGATGGTAGTTATGGTATAATTTGCAATAAACAAATTTCATTTACAATTATAATTCTTGATTCTAGCTAAAAAAGGAGATTCCCCTGATTTTTTATATTAGTTAACAGAAAGAAGAAAAAAAGAGATTCCCCTGATTTTTGATTTTAGTTCCAAGAATTTTTATTTATGTAAAGTTATCCATAGAAATTGGCATATCTTAAAAGTAGATCAAGATATCCATTCTTTATAGGGGATAAACCAAGATTTATATTTAGAGAAGCAAAACATTTTAAACAAATTGAACTAAAAGTTTTACAAGTGTTTCCTACAACAAAAAGTATTATCAGAGCTTGGGACACTATGTTTAAAGTCCTTCCTCTGGGTGGTCACGGGCAATGCCGCTATCTATTCTAAAATATAATTTTCCTCAAATAGATTTTGAATATTAGCATTCATATTTAATTCAATATGTAAATCCTTTCCTTCAGAGCAAGAATACAAATTAATTCTTAATAAATTGACAGAAAACAATTCTGTTCCTAACTTGGATTAAACATATAAAGAAATAGCACTAACTGATTTGGAAAATTCATATCTATATAATCCTAGTACCACCCGGCGTTACTTGGACTCACTGGTAGGAGACCCTACGGGGCGAACGAGACTACATAGAGAAACAGAGGCCCACACGACGCTGCATTTCGCAGTAGGGACGACCTCTAGTAAGATTATACTTACACTGAGAAGTGACCTCAGGACGACATATGAGAGTTGACACACAGATGGAATGTCGACACAGCACACCCGCCCTATGAGGGGTGCACTTGCATGACACAGTACAGATTCAGGTAGTAACTAAAGACTAGAGGACTACACCTAACACCGCCAGACAAGAAGCAAGACAATAGAGATGACTTGCCACACCACGAAGCCACTCCACGTGGACTTCGCCCCGCACATGAGAACCAGATGAAGATCCAGCTCTTGACAATAGACACTCCGTACTAACCCTAAGTAACCACCACAGAGCGGGAGACGCTAGTGTCAGGGCTGACGGATGGGAGAGGCCATGGCCTGGTACTTGACTATAGTACTCTGTAAGACTGACTCGTACTGCACCCCCCACAGTAGTAGATACTATCTTGGGACTAACCCCATACCAGATGTCTGGTAAGAGAATGCACGCAAGACTTATGTGTTCACCAAGGTTGTAGACCACTGGGCTTACGAAAGTGCCAATGTTATTGGCGTTACTCTTTGCGCATGTTGTGCCCACGCCATGGTAGTTCAGATGCAGACTGAGGTCTACGAATCTCACCACAAGTTAGCGCATTACTACCTGATACTGTAAGGAATGTGCTTAGCAGTCCTGTTAGTAAGATAATGCATGTTATGTTGTGACCTGCGTGTCACCGATATATGACTGAGCGGACATCACTTCCTACTAAAATTGTTATGGTTTCATTTTGAAGGGACCTGCGTGTTCTAATTGTCGCACATTCATAGCTATTTGAGGATCTGAAAGACTGCACGTTCAATAAAAACGTATTTACAAAAAAAAAATATATATAATCCTAGTAGAAGTGGCACTATTACACAATGTTATAAATAATTGATGCCTAGTCCCAAGCTATAAGCAGATTTTATGCTAGCTTGGGAGAAAGATCTAGGGGCCCGGTGCAACCTGGAGGAATGGCTCAGTTTCATTCCTACTCTAAAAGGAATAACGCAGTGTTCCAATCACTGGGAAAACCACCTTAAAATAATATACAGATGGCATTTGGCACCATATAGAATGAAAAAAATGAGCACACATTTGTCGGATCAATGCCAAAGAAATTGTGCCTTGGTTGATCCTCTTTCACATATTCTCTGGTATTGTCCAAAGTTAACAAAATATTGGAAAGACGTTCATAAATTAATTCAAAATGTGAATCCTAACATCTCAGTATTAACCTCAGAATTTGTTTTGTTTAAAAAATTCCCAAGTTCCCTTGGAAAAATAGATAAGATCATTATTGGACATATTGTCATTGCTGCCATTACAGTTGTCCCCAGACACTGGAGGTCACCTGCCATTCCATCAGTTAAAGAAGATCTCAATTCTATTCTGGGGAATAAAAGTTATGAATTGGCCATTAGACAGCCTTCTCAATTGAGCGACAATCTTACTATTGGGAAATATGGGAAAAAGATTTCTAAAAGGAATATAAACGTTAAATGTTTTTCCTAAGTGGAAAGTTAATGTTCATGTTGCTAATCTGATGTAGTCATGTGATTTATTTTACTTGGTTCTACTACTCAAGTCAAGATAAAAGTTATAAAACACCAATTTTTTATACATTTTTATTGATTTTTAATTATTAAATGATTAAATTCTCATATTTTTGTATATAAATATGAACTTTCATTTTTTTCATAGATATTCCATTTATAATTGTTTTTAATTACTACTTATTAATGCAATTGTGTGATAGATTAGACTTATGGGTCATTAACAATAGTAATAAAATATAAAGACCTGTTTATTGTGAAACATTTGTTTTTTGATTATGTAAACATACATTTGTTGAATATATATATATTTTTTAATTTGTAATTTGTAGAAATATTTCTTAATAAACATAATAAAAATGCTGTATCTAAAACTTTCTTCAGGTCCTTTATTATTGATAAAGTCCTACTGGTAATTGTTTGTTCTCGAACTTTATTGTTTAATTGATTTGCATAAAGTATCTGTGATGTCATAACACGTAAACCATCAGTGGTGAAAGGCAGCAGATAGGTCATATCACTGTTGTATATCCTTGCAGCAGGTTGCAAAAGTTTTTGATCGCACAAATTGTGGAAAAGACAAAAAAGATAATATCATAGCTACATTGAAAGGGCTTTATAGCCGGTGTTGAAATTTGAGATGGAGCGCGAGAGGAAGCGCCCCAAAAACAGGAGCTTTAGTTATGGAGTTAAAGACCAACCACGGGAAGAGCTCAACTTCCGGGATTCTTCGCGCCAGATCCATCAACATCTAGCTAAAAACCGTCGATTTGACCAGAACATGGAAAAAAGACGTTGTATGCAATATATAATGGATGGATCAGAGAGGCGTAATCCCCAAAATTGTCAGTCCCAATGTGGAGGAGAGGTGGGAAGAAGGCAAGAGAAGAGAAAGATGCAGAATGTTTACGATGCCGGGCAGATGCCCAAAGATGGCACGCAGTTTGAGAGATACCAACAGTTTAGACGGGATAGCACCAGGAATGGTCATTGGCATGAAGTTAAAATGGGCAGAGAGGAACCTGGCCAAACTAAGGTCAATGAAAGCACCATGTTTCGCATTGGTAAAAGCAAAAGATGCTGGGAAGGTAAGCTAATTTTTTCCTCTTCATCAACTGTTTCTGTTTGTCAAATGTGTTTTGTTAAAATTGCTTGTCTTTTGTTTTACCTATTGTACGACGCTGCAGAATATGTCAGCACTATATAAATCATTGTAATTGTTATTTAAGGTCAAGCCGAAGCCAAAGATGGGGACGGTTTCCATCACAAAAGAAAACAGGGTGCAGCTATGGAGTACAGTGCTCCCAAAATGACACTACAGGAGCTGGATAAAAAACTGGCAGAATATGACCTACCTACTCAAACTCTGCCAGTTAAATCAATGGACTTCAACTATCCCCAAAATTGTCACTCCCAGTGTGGAGGAGAGGTGGGAAGAAAGCAAGAGAAGACTAAGATGCAAAATGTTCACCATGCCCAGCAGATGCCCAAGGATGGCATGCAGTTTGAGAGATCTCAACAGTTTAAACGGGATAGCACCAAGGATAGTCATTCGCACGAGGTTAAAATGGGCAGAGGGGAACCTAGCCAAACAAAGGCCAATGAAAGCCCAGTGTTTCGCAGCCGTAAACGCAAAAGATTCTGGGAAGGTAATCAAATTTTTTCCTCCTCACCTACTGTTTCCGTTTGTGAAACGTTTTTTGTTAGAATTGTTGTAGTTTTTTTTTTACCTGTTGTACTGCGCTGCAGAATATGTCAGCACTATATAAATCATTGTAATTGTTATTTAAGGTCAAGCCGAAGCCAAAGATGGGGACGGTTTTGATTATAAAAGAAAACGGAATGCAGATATGGAATACAGTCCTCCCAGAATGACATTAGAGGAGCTGGATAAAAAACTGGCAGAATACGACCTACCTACTCAAAGTCTGCCAGTTAAATCAACGGACTTCAACTATCCCCAAAATTGTCAGTCTCAGTTTGGGAGATCCCAACAGATTAGAGGGGATAGCACCAAGGATGGTCATTGTCCTGAAGTTAAAAGGAGCAGAGGGGAAGCTGGACAAAGTAAGGCCAATGAAAGCCCAGTGTTTCGCAGTCATAAACGCAAAAGATGCTCGGAAGGTAAGCTAATTTGTTTCCTCTTCACCTACTGTTTCCGTTTGTCAAATGCATTTTGTTACAATTGTTTGTCGTTTTTTTTTACCTATTGTACTGCGCTGCAGAATATGTCAGCACTATAAATCGTTGTAATTGTTATTGAAGGTCAAGCTGAAGATGAGGACAGTTTCCAGCCCAAAAGACAACGGGTCGCAGATATAGATTTCAGTTCTGCCAGAATAACACTAGAGGAGCTGGTTAAAAAACTGTCAGAAATACATGTTGAAAGCCGGCCAATTAAATCAATGGACGTCAACCATCCCGGCACACAAGACTCATCTGTTGAAGATATGGAAGTCGATTAGTCAACAATTCAGAGTTTAGTGAGTAACCCTAAAGGTGAAATAACCCCTATTGTGGTGAACTCGGAAAAAAAGTATTTGCTAAATAATACACATTATTAATACACATTATTAGACACAGACAGGTAAACGTATCTACAAACATTACTACCTTTAAGTATATTGCTATGTGAAGAGAGCCACCTAGTGGTGAAATCAGATGTACTGCTGTCTATGACTGTCAAAACATTTCTTCCAAAAATAAACGTATGGTAAATTTAAACTATTATATTGTTTTATTCCTTTTCATTGTGTCTGGTGTAATTTGTAAATATACTGAGAGATTTATTTACTAAACCTGGAACTGCATTTTTGAGCAAGAATAGCAGAATGTGAAATACAAGCTGAAAAAATGCCAAGTTGTAGAATATGTCTGCTTTTATGATCTAACAAAAGGAGGAATCCGCACTCTTATCTGGTCCTGGTGCATCTAGACTTGGGGCTGGCTCACCCCACTCCAATGGTAAAACAATAAATGTAGCCCAGGCACTCATGATCACTTACACATTATGGTAGACTGGCCAGAAAGAAGTCTCTTTTCACAGGAAAGCCCAAATGAAAAGGCAAAAAAGCAGCAAAAGGACACTCAGGCTTAGAGAAACATGATACTCTAGTCTGATGAAACATAGAATGAACTTTTAAGCCTCAATTTAAAGCATCATGTGTGGAAGAAACCAGGTACCGCTCATCACCTACACAATACCATCTCAATGATGAAGCATGGTGATTATAGCATCAGGGTTTGAGACTGTTTTTCAGTGGCAGGGACTGGGATACTATTCAGACATGTAAGAAAGCTGAATGCAAAATACAGATATATTCTTAATGAAAACCTGGTCCAGAACTCTCATGAACTCAGACTGGTCCAACTTTTAGATTCCAGCTGGACAATGACCCAAAACATACTGCAGATTGTGCCAGTTTTAGTCAACTCTCTGGGCAGTATATTGGGACCAGTCTAAAAAGATAGAGCCACTTGGGAATGATGTACGACTTTATAACATTGATTCTTCCTCCCCATGAGAACACTTTATTATTCTATTCTTTTAATGGTTTACTAGTGGATTACAATAGAGGCATAAAATTACACTCCATCAGTTCAGAGGAGTCATTGGTCATTTGTACTCCCAAGTATGTATTGGCCTGTGAAGAACAATCAAGCCCAAATCTATCCCACAAGATTTTCTTATTTTCATTAGATAGGTTT